ATTAAATCATGATCTGACGGTGATATCCTAAGTTTCACTGTTGGACCATCTCCCAACCGTAGAGTGACAGCCGATTCATGCCCCCATCTCAACAATGATATCCATAGATACGGCAGCCTGTTCGCTTGCTCGTATACGATCGTGGATTATAAGCTGGATCAAACCAGCCAGCAGTAAATAATTCATGATCATTTATGGCCTGCCGAACAGGCTAACGACTATCAGCTGATGTTTTGACCCAACAATGATAGTTTATTATCACTGCCGGGTCACTAAACTGGCATAGTAATAAGTCACCCATCACTACCGATTATCCTCTGCCGGTATAAATTCAGGCAGTGAGTCATCCACGGTTTTGGCGTAGTACAGCAGCTATTCATGTCACTGTATATATATCAGTCCGCACAAGCACCTTGATGAACATAAAAATTATATGTATGGACATGACCATCAATTAGTATGGTTACTAAGTTCAAAATTCTTAATCTCTTGTTGAACTTCTAGTTAATCAATCGTCCATAAGAATTTCCGTAATCATAATCATAATAATAATAATATTAAAAAGTGTCACATCAGGTGTGAATCACGATTGGCACCTTATAGCACTACTGCCTCATCAAAACCGTACACCATATTCGGACGCATCCACATCAATCGTTGTATAAAGGAAAACATGACCTGACCCATTGCACAAAACACATATTCGCTCTGTCCTAAAATAAAATACTACTACTGTCCAAAAAATACATATTATTCTCGCTTACAGATAAGTCAAATAGTTTTAACTTTAACCAAATATATATAAGAAAATATTAATATTTATAATACATAATTAGTATCATCATTGAATCTATTTTTTTAATAAGTTTATTTAGAGATATAAATATTACTAATATTTTATACAACCCTAGTCAATGTTAAAACAGTTTGATCGACATGAAAACCACAACGATACTTATTTTTGGACCGAGGGAGTAACATGTGTGATTCAAGTTTGTTCCAAATTAAGAGCTTTGTTCAGCTGCTTGCTAGGCAGCGCTTCGGCTACACGTTTGGTGTCTTAAATTTTCTATCGCCACAGTCGTTGGCAGCAGCATCAAACAGACCCTAAGAGTAACTCCAAGAAATTCTTTATATTGTTTCTAATTGGTAGGAATAGATATTTTGGTAAAAAAAAAGTATTCTCCAACAACTTTTTTAATTCGTTATTAGAATATAGTCATATTCTATTCTTGATTTCTTACTAGCTGCCGAATACTATAAAAAGGGGTACCCTAAGCGAGAAATAAAAAAATTGCTTAGACCTTGTAAATAACGAAACCAAAATACAACCGCAGGCAAACCCGCCACATCCAAGGCCCGGCCCACCTCGAACAACATCCAGGCACAACTGAAGCAGGCTCGGCCCAGAACCATACCACGAGGCCTCGGACGAGCTACCAATTCTCCGACTCGCCCGAGGCCCCGCGCCACGAGGCCTTGGACGAGCACCTAGTTACCGACTCGCTCGAGGCCGGCTCGGCATCAACCCCACCGCCGCTTTGACCGACTTCTCTGACGGAGCGTCACATCCAACTGAAGCGTTCAATCACTCCCACAACGTCAGCCGCACGACGGCACAGTACAGCGGAGTGATCGACGAGACGGAAGTCACATCAACGCCCGCCATCTCCGGGACGGGGACGGGCGGGGTTACCGTCACCGTGTGCTCGCATCGTGCCCACGATCGACGCGACGCCGCTGCTACGCTGTGCTACCTAACCCCTGCTCCAAGGACAGCGCGGCATGGAAAGTCATGCCCGAGACCCTGTAGCCTTGGAATCGACGCACAAGGCCAACTGCTCTCTCCGAGCCTCGGCTAAACCGCTCCCGAGTTCCTGTAGCCTCGGGGCTTGCACCCACCGAACCCCCCCCCCACGATGGCTCAGCCTCTGCACCGACTGGGCCTCGGCTCTCTACGTCACCGACGCGCTGGGACCGGCACGTCGCCCGCAGTACGCGCCACGCCCTGCGTCAGGCTGCAGGAGCTCCCACGTCGTACACGAGGCCTAGCCCCTGTAGCCTCGGAATCAATGTACCCGCGCCATCATATCAACCCGGCCTTGGCTCTCCGCGCCGGTCAAACCAACAGCGACCAGCACGTCTCCAACAGAAGAAGGCACACCTGCCGGGCCACCACAGGAGCTCCCACGTCGCACAGGATTGGGCGTGACCGGCGCGTCGCTCCAGTGCACGGAGGACAAAACCACTCCACCGACCATACCGACATAGCGACAAGCTGCAGGGCTCGAACATGCCGCCTCCGCCAAACAGAAAACGCCACGTAGCAAATACATGTACCGCCCCTGTGCCTCCCTTCGGCTATAAAAGGGAGTGACCAGGGCCGCTCCTAGGCATCGGATCAGATAACACACACACACGGTGCAAACCACGCACAACACTCTGTAACACGCACGTTCCTTCACTGTGAGAGATCTACATCTCAAGCGACACACACTGCAATGCACAGAGACCTGAGGCTAGCTCCCTCTCTCGCCCAGCTTGTAAGCCTCTACTACAAGCACCTCGGTGCAAGGAATACAAGATCGCTCTCTCAGACTGGACGTAGGGCACCTATTGCCTGAACCAGTATAAACCTTGTGTCTCTTTGCATCACCATTCGAATTAGAAACATGCAGTACACTTCACTAGTCGGTTGAGGACCCCCGGTCCAAAACACCGACACTAGCCAATGATAGAAAATAAGAATGGCTCTCTAGAGTATAAATAAGATATTGAAAATATGTTGGAGAGTGAAAAATATAGAAAAGAAGTTTTATGTAAATAACTCTTCAAATGTTGATTTAAAGTTTGATCTTTAAAAAGGTCTATCGGAGATGCTCTAAAATGCACATGGGTACAGTAGCCTATCTGCACATGACAGAGCAGCAGTAGCTTTTCACCAGCGCCAGCATATGAGAACGAAAAAAATACAAAAAAATGGAACTTGTGTCCAAAAAAATGGAAAAGGAAAATCTACAGAGGCTTCTAGGCTCAGGAAGCTCCCCGTGACCCATCCACTCGTTCTTCGTAGTGCCCGGCCTGCTTCTCTGTTCCAAATTATAAACAATCTTTGGTACATAATCTAGACATCTATATTAATAAAAGTCAAAGAACTCGGAATTTGTGACGGAGGGAGTACGTACTATTCTATGATTTCTGTACCAATGTCCGGATACATGGAATATTAGATGAATATTTTTCTATAGAGGTAGCAGCGTTTTTTTTACGTATGTACTAAGTTATATAATAAAACCTAGACACTTTATTTTAGGATGTAGGGAGTACAGTACACACTAGAATTAGTTACTCCGCGATCGCACTAATATAGGTCATTTTGTCACGTGATGAAGCTGCGCAAAAGCCAGACAACCAGGCACCCAAACCATCCATATCAGATCACTTGTCGGTTGTACCTCTTGTAATGGAAGTAAAAGATAACATACAAAAAGGAAATGAAAAATATCCACTTTTAGAATATGTGAGCTAGACAAAGAATTAACTTTGTCAATTAATAAGGACATGTTTGGATGGCTTCCCAGCGTGCCACAACTAGCTAGAGATATTTTAGGCAGCTGTTTGGATTGCGTCCGTAACTTGCTTGAGGTTTGGCGCGCCGAGTTTCTTCCTTTAGTTTGCAGTTAATTTTTCGCTAAATCTCTCACGGCAGATTTGTTCACCCCGTTTTTGGCACGCCACAAGTGCGTTGTGACAAGCCGGAGGAGAATTTGGATGGGACTCCAAACATGCGCTTCACAGTTTTACCATTGGTAACATTGACTTCGCAAAAAGAGGACCCCAAACATGTGACACTTGCAGCCTGTTCGCTGGGACGTATTTGGCTTATAAGACATGACTTATCAGCCAACGAATAGTATTTTTCTCTCACACCAAACCAACCAACAATACTTTCAGCTATGACTTATAAGCCAAACCAGCCCAAACGAACAGGGCGTTGATTTTCATGCCATTTTTTTTATATTTCTTCTCTTCTCTAGTATCTCTCTCTGTATTTGGCACCTGAAAAGAAACTTTTGCCCTTTTGTAGGCTTGCCCCCTTCTGCTGGTTTGCTGCTTATGTATGTACTGCCTGGGCTGGCTTATTGGCTGTCGCTTGGACAGGCTGGCCACCGCCGCCGCCTAGGCATAATAAAAATTCTAGGCATATGATCCATGCCCATGGCGTAGGCGTAGCCAGGCCATCGGCCGGTTGCCCAGAACAGAGGCTGGTGCGCCCGGCCGTCAAAGCCATCGGGCGGCTGGCCGTCCATGGCCTACGTGTCAAGGTCGGGATTGGGCGGACGGCGGCGGCCAGACGAAACGTCGGGTTAGAGCGACGACTTTATTCTTTCGTAGTTTGCATAAGGTGCAAAACGACTGAAGGGTAAAAGTGTCTTTTCAGGTGTAAAATACAGGGAGAGATACTATAAAGAAGAGGAAATACATGAAATGTCATGGAAAGCGAGTGTCACGTGTTTGAGTCCTATTTTTACGAAGTTAATGTTATAAATGGCAAAACTGTGAAACGTATTGTTTATTATATGGAGTCGCAAATATCTAAATTTCTCAAAGCTGGAGATACTTTCCAAACGCGTCCTAATTTTTTTGGATTGCCGGAAAATGAAATGTGAGAGGTTCCCGCTTCCGTGACGTAAAGAAGCACCGAACAAGCAAAAGGAAATATGGATATGCTGTGCGCGCACAGCACATTTCCTTTTTCTGAAAAGAGAAAACAAAAAAAAAAGAGGCACAATAAATGGCGTCAAAGCCACGGGCCTTCGCGAAGGTCTTCGTCCCCGCGCTCCCGCCGCCGCCCCTCCTTACTGCCCCCGTCTTCTCGCGGTAGGTGGGTCGTCGGTCCCTCGCCTCCCATCCGCCTCCTCTTCCCGCAGCGGATCTGCTAACCGAATCCATCCGTCCAACGCAGCCGGCCGACGACTCGGGGTCCCGGCGCGGCGGCGATGTCGGCGGCGTCGGCGGCGCCAGCGCAGGCTCCAAGGAAATGGGAGGGACTAGTGGACGAGGCGCTCGAGAGGGAGGTGCTGGGAGCGTGCCTGGACCAGGCCCCCGAGCGCCGCCGCATCCGCGAGGCTTTCAAGAACGTGCAGCTCAGCATCGACCATTGCCTCTTCAAGGTCAACCGCTACCCCTATTTTGCCTATCTGCTTAGAATCCAGATAAAGATGCCATTTTTTTTTCTGGTGTTCCAGAAATGCTGTTCGTTCTTTTTATCGGTTCTTCGTACGTACTTAGTGACGTGCCAGAATAGGATTGGTTAGGCAAGATAATACATGTGCTGTTTTCATGCGTTATTGTCTACTAGTTCAGCGAATAGAGTAACAAGCTGCAATAGAAACCTGTCTTTGGAATAAAAGGTTTCGTTTTTATGAATCACAAACTTCTGGCCTTTCATCGAAAAGATGTCTAGGCAAAGCATGTGTTAGGAATTGGTTGGAGGTGTGGGTATGGGTACTACTGTACACTATTATTTTTTTGCTTTTAAATCTCCAGTGCAATGGTTTTGTAGAATATAAATAAACTCTGCAATAATATTTTTTTTTCACTCATCTCGCTTCAAATGATGGCATAGAAAACACGCTTTATGATTTCTCATGCTATGGATGATCTCTCTCACTTGTATTCGGATTATGATGCAGGGACAATATAGTGGCATCGGAACCAAGGAGGTACTATATCTTAAATTCTATGATTTCTTCATGATAATTTATCCCTCAACTTCTACTGCAACACATAAATTTATTTCATGCATTTCTATACAAGGTTATTTATGCCATAGAGTTGATCCCTTGTTTTCTTTCTAATGAGTGCGCACTGTATGTTGGAGAAATATTTGAATGTTTTACTCTATGTAAGTTAGGTGTATTTATTTAATTGAATTGAGCGAATGCTCACCGTGTTGAAATATTGGATAGTTGCAGTATTTGTTTTTAAAAAAATTAGTGCAGGGCACTGTAATGTTGAATTCACATGGCATGTCCAATAGTACATTAGTTTCTCCTTTGCTTTGGTAGGTGTTTTGCTGTGAGTGATGAACCTTCAGGAGTTGGCTATTTTATAGATCATTTTTCCTTGTCTGGAAGATATTTTAAGATGGTAATATGCTATGCAAAAATGTCAGTTTGCTCAATGGTATTCCTGACTCTGAAAGCATAATGAAACACCATTTAATTCTTCTCTGTTTAGAATTTTATGCCAGCTTGTTGATTAATCCTCAACCTTCGGAATCTTTCTCTTCTACAGTCATATGAGCGTAACTCTAGGGGGGTGGAGATTTTCTCAAAATGCTGGTTTCCGGAGAATCGTCGCATGAGAGCAATTGTTTGTCTTTGCCATGGTTATGGAGACACGTGTACCTTTTTCCTTGATGGTTAGCTTTTCCTCTTTGATGCTACTTATCCTAAGGTTTGTCTGATATAGTAATATGTTGCTGCTTTTTGCATATTTTTTAATGATTGTTTTTATTTTAGGAGTTGCTAGGAAGATTGCTTCAGCTGGATATGGAGTATTTGCACTGGACTACCCTGGCTTCGGTCTTTCAGAAGGACTTCATGGATATATTCCAAGTTTTGATACTCTTGTTGATGATGTAGCTGAACACTTTTCTAAGGTCAAAGGTATTCTGCCATTACATTCTTGCTGGTTTCTCATGCTATCTCTTTTATGTACATGATTTTGAAATACGTTTAGTCCTTATGCGAAAAGTTTCCTAACTTATTAAAGATTATCATTTGTGTATAATAGTCCTGTTTTTTGGGTAGGAAATCCTGAATATAGAGGCCTCCCGAGCTTTCTGTTTGGTCAATCTATGGGTGGAGCAGTTGCATTGAAGGTTCACTTCAAGCAACCAAATGAATGGAATGGTGCAATACTGGTTGCACCCATGTGCAAGGTAGTTTTATCTTTGTGGAATGTTATATATACTAGTTAATGCCTTCCCACTTATTCACAAATTCATTTCAATAGATAGCAGATGATGTGGTTCCACCTTGGCCCATTCAGCAAGTTCTAATTTTTATGGCCAAACTTCTGCCAAAAGAAAAGCTTGTTCCTCAAAAGGATTTAGCTGAGTTGGCATTCAAAGAGAAGAAGAAACAAGAGCAGGTCACTATCTTTCACACTGGATTTTCTGGAACTAAAATTTGATTCTCTCATTTAGTTAATATTTCCTTATTTTCTTCCAGTTTGACTGCGTTGTACATTCTTTGACACAACTGTTCAAGGCATATATGTTTGTAAAATAATGTGAAAAAACAGTATGGCCTGTTTAATATTGCTTCATGCTCCAGGTGAAAGTAGTATGCATTCGCATCTTCTCCAGTGATAATTAGAATAAATAGTTTTGGCATACAGGTGAATTTTATGGTTTTACTGCTGCTTGTAGTTTTATCTTCCCTTATAACCCTAGAGTATGTACGAAGATGCATTTGAAAAGCAGGCCCTGTTAGTTCCTTTTCTTTTGATTGTGGGCTTGAAATACTATTTGGTTGAAAGAGAAATAAGTTTATTTCTTTTGAAATTTTATTTATTAGATCGTTGCCAATCTTATCTGTTCATTGTGATTAGAATGTTCTTATTAGTTCACTATCAAATGCAGTGTTCTTTCAATGTGATTGCCTACAAGGATAAACCACGTTTGCGAACAGCTCTGGAGATGCTGAAAACGACACAAGAGATAGAAAGGCGTCTGGAAGAGGTATGTGTCTCTCCACTTTTGTTTTCTCCAGTGGTCTATTTTTAGGTATAAGAATATAGATTCGAGGATGGTCTATTTTTTTATTCTGCAGCTGTCATTACTTTGATGGTTGGATCCTGCTTCATGTTGCACAGGTTTCTTTGCCCTTGATCATCTTGCACGGTGAGGCTGATTTGGTTACTGACCCAGCGGTTAGTAAGGCTCTGTATGAGAAAGCTAAGAGCCAAGACAAGAAGTTGTGCCTCTACAAAGGTGCATATCACGCTATCTTGGAAGGTGAACCGGACGAGACAATATTCCAAGTTCTCGATGATATCATATCTTGGCTCGATCAGCATTCCACAAGAGAAGAAGGTATGTCGTCATGAATCGGGCAGCGTTGTTCGCCAGGATTTGGTGAATTCCTTTGGCAATGCTGTATCGTTTCCGGTTAGGGATCCCAGATTCAACGGTTTAGAATTCCATTTTTGATATGACCCTATAAAATTCTTAGTTCTGATTATTGATGTGTCCGTCACGTATCTGAACGATGTAGATGTACATATATATAACTGATCAATGTGTATTTATTTACCACGAATTATTTGGGAAAACCTCAGTTACAAAACGCCCTTTATTTTTATATATTTTCCGATACTTTCTGTTAGATGGGGAGTTTTGTGGTATCTTTTTGCAATACCCAATAACTAGAAATCTGACGTGTGTCGTGTCCAAAGCATTAGCTCGTGGTAGTGTTTCTCTTTCCCGTGCCGATGCCATGATCTGCGAGTTGATTCTGGGCCTCGATGTTTTTTTTTGGGAACTGGGCCTGGATGATTTGAAGACGACTGCGTGTTCAACGATGGGGCACAGTCATTACGGGTGTTGCTGGGAGCCTGCGAGGCCACGAGGAGCTGTAATCATGGAGTTAGGCGTTCTGAGTGCAAACAGCTTTGCAGTTTGAGACAATCGTTCATTTAGTTTGAGTTTTTAAATAAATGGCACAAATTTGTAACACCAGCATAAACAGTTGTTTGTCTTAAGTGCGAATGGTTGATGCGTGTTCTTGTGTGTCGAGTTTGTGATGAGTGATTGTCAGAAGATGGTTGGTTTTGGTTGAGTTTGGAGATTAATCATGGCGTGAGTACGTGTGTGTAACATGTGTCTTGGCTGTATTGGTGCAGGTGTGGAGCATAGAGACGGTCGACGGGCATGGTGAAAGTCAAGTTGAGACGGACCGTGTCGATGGATGAGGAGCAGTGAAGAACAGGCGTAAGGCTTAGACCGAGTGACCAAGATGTCCGGAAGACTAACCGTAGTGGGTGACACTTGAGACATCAACAAGCAAAAGCACATAAAGAGTAGACCGTGTTGACCAAGTTTAGGCGGTGGTTGACCAAGTCAAGTGAAGGCGCAAGAGGACTTGGTGATCGGGTGGTTGAGGACGACGTTGACATGTGTCGACCTCGTGCTAGAGGCGTAGCGGTTTCTCTAGGTGATTTGGGCCTCAAAATCACCAGCGGACGGTTTCTTGGGTTTGGGCCTCAAAATCCGGTTAGAGTTCTGGTGGGAATGGGAGGAGGCACGTAGTGTCATTGCGAAGCTTGCATCGAGGCGAAGCAAAGTCTTGAAGAGCTCGTGACCATCGGATGCTTGATCTTAAGTTAGATCATTTTGCCCCTAGGTTAAGTGGTTCAGCTAAAATATCTAAGGGCGTTGTTAGGAGTGTGTAATAGCTCTATAAATAAGAGGATGATTGCTCGTAACTAGCCCATCTCTCTAGTTGTCATTCTCTAGGTTTCCTTGCTGTTGGTATTTATGAGTGCAAACTAAAATATAAGGTTTCCGCAAACACACAGAATACCATTGTAGCATTTTACCAAGAGTATTCCAGATATCATTATTTATATTTTACCATAGAGAAACAATGGAATAAAGATTATTGAATAACTAAGGAGTATCTACTAATCAACATACCAGCATAGCTAGAGTAGGGGTAAATGTAATGATAGGAATTATGTATAATGACATTCAGGAGATAAATAACTAGTCAACTCGGGAGAACAACGGGTGAGGTAGATTCATACGATATTCTTATTAAATGGTCAAAGTACAACCAACTTGAAAGGTCCTAATGGCTAAAGGAGGGGTGAATAGCCTAATAAAAATTTCTACAACAACACTTAACAAACCGGTTAGATAATAATGAGGCAAAACAAGTGTTGCGCTAGCCTACTAAAATTGCAAGCCACCTACCATAATTCTATTTTAGATAGTATCTATCCACACAATAACTATGACACTACACTAACTTAGAGTGCTCTCAAAAACTAACTAAAGTGCCACACCAACCAAACTAACAAGCTCTCACAACTAGCTATACTAAAGAGCTTGACAACTAATTTACGGTAATATAAAGAGAGTGAGCAAGAAGGTTATACCGCCGTGTCGAAGAGTGAACCAATCAATCACAAGAATGAATATCAATGAAGACCAATCACCTCGGAATCAAATGATAAAACCAATGATTTTTTACCGAGGTTCACTTGCTTGCCGGCAAGCTACTCCTCGTTGTGGCGATTCACTCACTTGGAGGTTCATGCGCTAATTGGCATCACATGCCAAAACCCTCAATAGGGTGCCGCACAACCAACACAAGATGAGGATCACATAAGCCACAAGCAATCCACTAGAGTACCTTTTGGCTCTCCGCCGAGAAAGGTCAAGAACCCCTCACAATTACCACGCTCGGAGCCGGAGACAATCACCAACCTCCGCTCAACGATCCTTACTGCTCCAAGCTGTCTAGGTGGCGGCAACCACCAAGAGTAACAAGCGAACCCCGCAGCGAAACACGAACACCAAGTGCCTCTAGATACAAACACTCAAGCAATGCACTTGGATTCTCTCCCAATCTCACAAAGATGATGAATCAATGATGGAGATGAGTGGGAGGGCTTCCCGAGTTGCTATCTACACCCCACCCCCCCGGACCCCTGCCACCCGAACTCAATACAAGGTAAAACAAGCACCTCAACTGCAAGGGCCACTGGCTCATCTTGTAAATCTGAATATGTTTCATTTGTAACACCAAATCCCTCAACAACCACCCCTGGTTCTTTCATCTTCCTATGATTCTTTGTGACTTGCGCCTCCCACTCTCGTTCAAAAGCAGTTAGTGGCTGTTCATCTCGATTACAAAGGTATTTATTAACTAAAGCTTCTAGCGAATGTCAACATAACAAAGAGCAAGAGTATGCAAATAAGTGCCTAACTAGTAACTACAGCTTATACGGAAGTCATTAATCCAATAAAGCACATGTCAGCTACACTCAACTATAGGAAATGTACAACCCCATCGCTATCTACATATCCCAGGTTGAACCACTACAATACCGCACACATCATAAAAGGAATTTGGGTACCTCTTCCTCCGCGTACCCTGGCTACACTTCGTTGTTGGCACAACCGTCTTGTCATCATGGTCGCGGAACTAGTGTGACCGGCATTAATGAAGGGGTACCAGATCCGGCTCTGGCTAGGGTTCGGATCCAGCTGGTCGTGATAGGTGCTGAAGTAGGGGATCTAGATCTAGCCTATACTGTTGTCAAGGTGGTCCTTCCACCGTCAGCTAACCTAATCTCGACGAATCGAAGGGGATCTGGCTCCGGCTAGGGTTTGAAAAGTGTTGACGATAGTTAACAACCATTATAAACATCAATAAAACATGCATAAGGGCACAATTGAGATCACCAACAAAGGTCTAGGGGTTTAAACTAATAAATTCTACTAGTTTTGGTGAATCTATGATTTTTGCAGGGTTTATCTAGAAAACCATCAAGGTGGGCCTACATGTCAAATTTTATTACGCTTATCCGCCGTGAAATGGACACTAGAAGGCTCAAGAAGACTCGAGAGGACTCCACACCAATGCAGGAATCGAGACACCGCCAGGTAGGGCGGCTAGCCTCACCTAGAGGCCGCCTGGCCCCCTAGGGCCCCACCTGTCAGCTTCATCGCAATCTCGGTTCTCCACCACCTCCTAGGTTCCATCTATGCTGTTCCTTAAGTCGGTTTGATCCAAGGGCTCATGTTGGATGCTCCGGCCTATATATATCAGCCCCTACCCCCCTAAAGGCATCAAGTCATTTGAGAAGATAGAAACCCTAATCATTCTCAGAGCTCCACCATATTCTAGGACATAGCTAGTTAGGCTGGGTCTAGAGGGAGGCAAGAGGGCTTCGCTTGGATTCCCGATCGTGTCAAGAGCGTGGTTCGGTATAATCTTTGTACCCCCTCTCTCTTTTGTATCTCCATTATTTTTATATGCTTGCTAAAATTGTTATGACAATATTAGTATTCATCTTATTCATGTTCTTCGTTATAATGTTCATCGTCTACTTTGATTATATGCTTAGTATAGTTGGATTATCATCATGTTCATGCATAAGTTCGTATAGCGCTCACTCTAAGGTACCATGGGTGGGTGGTAGACATTGTGTAAGCGTGGTGCTTATACATTGTTTACCTGCGAATACACCTGTTTACACCAAAATTTGGAAAGAAGAACGCGGGAACTCGAAGCTTCTAAGATTGTATCATCAAGGAATCGATCAGGTGTGAATCGATATCGGCTGGTTTTGATGCAGTGTCGGAATCGACTGTTTTATAAATGATGTCAGTAGACAACGTCAATGGACTACGTACGGATGGCGTCGGGGGAAAAATATGTCAGACTCTACAAAAAGGAAAAGATTAGGGTCTAAGTTATTTTTAAGTTAGGAATGTTTTCTTTTATTCCAAGAATTGTAATGAGTCGTATTCGAGTAGGATTCATGTTTAGGTTCTGGGTATAAATATTGGACCCCGGTTATTGTAAAGTACAATCAACCAATCAATACAATTACTTTTTCGGCTTCACACCAACCCTTAGGAGTAGGAGTACTGTAGATCTCGACGAGTTCTTCAACAAGCAGGGCTACATCGACTGATCGACCTCTGGCTTGTCTATGAGTACTGTCACGACTTGTATCACACTTGTAAAGCTGCATCGGTCGATTGATCTTTTACGAGTATAATATAAGTTAGTTATCGATCTGTATCATTATTTGTAAGGCTGCATCAGCTGATTAATCTCTTACGAATCATAATATGGATCAAAGTTATCGATCTTGTGTTAAATAACTTGTTGTTTAATACAATATCATCAGTAATTGAATCTACTAAGATTAGTAAGATTTTCCTTGTTGTTTTTGGTTGATTCACTAGTTATTGATCTTCTTATAATTAATGTTCCATTAATCATAACAAATCATTTGATTGAGATAGAGATGAATCGGCATCACATCATCTTAATTGGTCATCTTCTAATCTGGTCAAGCTTTGAATC